ACACACCATTTTATGTGACGGTGTACGACAGTAAAACCATCCTGTGAAATATGACAGAAAAAATCATATGTGAGAGGAAAATCATCCTGTGTGATGGAATATGACAAATAAATCATCTGTGAGAGAGAAAAAAAAAGTCTGCATGATGGGTGTGGCAGTGTAATGCTCATTAAAAATAACTCAGTATTTATAGTTTAAATTTCCTTACACGTTTACAAACTGTTGTTCTAAAATTTATAAAATGTTTAAGGTAGCCCCTGATTATTATATACATACTGTAGTAATACATAAATTATCTAGCATAACTCATAAAAGGCATATATAGGCATCCTGCCATCACACTCAACACAATAATAATAATATATATATACACAGAGATGTACTTCTCGTAGCGTATGGTTGATCAGGTTCTGATCCACCAGGAGGCCTGGTCACAGACCGGGCCGCGGGGGCGTTGACCCCCGGAACTCTCTCCAGGTAAACTCCAGACTATTTTAATTCCTGTTCCCCTCAAGGAACATTCCTTGATGCTGGTGAGGGGCTCTTGATCTAGGGAATTAGATCTGTTCTCTAGTTCCCTGAATTAAACCTGAACACCTTCCACATCCCCCCCAGGCGCTGTATAATCCTACGGGTTTAGCGCTTTCCCCCTTGATTATAATAATAATAATAATAATAATAATAATAATAATAATAATAATAATAATAATAATAATAATAATAATAATAATAATAATAATAATAATAATTTAATTCCTGTTTTAGATATTAAAATATTATTTTCTGGTGTAAAATGGTCGATAGGCTTTAAATCCTATTAACCAACCAATAATAATAATTATATAATACATCCTGCAGAAATGTTGTAGATGGGTATAGGGTACATAATGATAATACACTAAATTACAGAAATGTTTGTATAGGCCTACCTTATTCAAATTAACTACTCCCGGTGCAACAATTTGTTAAAAAGATGAGGGGAGTAACTGTCTTTCCTTACTTCAGATTTATTAACTAGTCACTCCTTAGTTTTAACTTAAATCGGTGATATTAATGACCATGTTATAATGAGGTAGACCTGGAGAGTTTACCTGGAGTGGGTATCAGGGGTCAACGCCCCCGCCCCCTGATATCTTGTTGCATACAGTAGGTACTGTAATATTCAGTTTTCCTGGAACAGTAATGATTTTTTGTCAGTTATATTCAGTTTTCTTGATCCATTATTCATTCTTGTTCAAATGTGTTCAGTTTACTTTGTACTTTATTGATTTTTGTTTAATTATGTTGAGTTTCCTAGTAAATTATTGATTTTTGTTCCATTATGTTCAGTTTTCCTGGTATATTACTGATTTTTGTTCAGTTCATTTTTTTCTAGTACAACTGATTATCCTTTCTTACATATTCCCTTGTACCATGTAGGATATCCTGGCTTACATGTTCCCTTGTACCATGTAGGATATCCTGGCTTACATGTTCCCTTGTACCATGTAGGATATCCTGGCTTACATGTTCCCTTGTACCATGTAGGATATCCTGGCTTACATGTTCCCTTGTACCATGTAGGATATCCTGGCTTACATGTTCCCTTGTACCATGTAGGATATCCTGGCATACATATTCCCTTGTACCATGTAGGATATCCTGGCATACATATTCCCTTGTACCATGTAGGATATCCTGGCTTACATGTTCCCTTGTACCATGTAGGATATCCTGGCATACATATTCCCTTGTACCATGTAGGATATCCTGGCTTACATGTTCCCTTGTGCCATGTAGGATATCCTGGCTTACATGCTCCCTTGTACCATGTAGGATATCCTGGCTTACATGTTCCCTTGTACCATTTAGGATATCTTGGCTTACATGTTCCCTTGTGCCATGTAGGATATCCTGGCTTACATGTTCCCTTGTACCATGTAGGATATCCTGGCTTACATGTTCCCTTGTACTATGTAGGATATCCTAGCTTACATGTTCCCTTGTACCATGTAGGATATCCTGGCTTTCATGTTCCCTTGTACCATGTAGGATATCCTGAAAGATAAGATATAAAAGGAGAGATAAGGTAAGATGAAAAATGTATAAGACAAGATAGATAAGAGATAAGATTAGATAAGCTTAATTCAGGAAAATATACAAATACCTTTCCGAGTACAGGCAGCATAAACCTGTACAGTTGTACTGAGTGTACACAGATATTTAAAGTCAGTGTGACTTATTTCCATTGGGGTCCATAATTAAGGTGGTGGATCGTATGTAACTTTCTTTAGTAGGTTAACATTGGGTTAAATTTAACACACTTAAAGTTTTTTTTATGAATTAATTAACATATTAAACACTCAGTAGTATTTAGGGCATTGGAGCACTGCAGTGCTAGCCGGAAGATGGTGTATGTATGTATGTATGTATGTATGTATGTATGTATGTATGTATGTATGTATGTATGTATGTATGTATGTATGTATGTATGTATGTATGTACGTATGTATGTATGTATGTATATATATATATATATATATATATATATATATATATATATATATATATATATATATATATATATATATATATATATGTATATATGTATATATGTATATATATATATATATATATATATATATATATATATATATATATATATATATATATATATATATATATACCTACATACATACATACATACATACATACATACATACATACATACATATATACTGTGAGTGTGTGTAGGTATTTTATAAGGGTGTTTGACTTTACTGCATTATCCTAGGTTAAGTCTCCATAATGTGCCATTGTACTCCTAAAAGCTGTACTCTTACAAGCATTTGTAAATGCTGTATGTACTGTTGTCTATAAAATATTTGTTAATTTTAGTATATATAATAATAATAAAAATAATAATAATAATAATAATAATAATAATAATAATAATAATAATAATAATAATTATTATTATTATTATTGTTATTATTATTATTATTATTATTATTATTATTATTATTATTATTATTATTATTATAAGGCCTATGAGGCATTCCTTTAACTAGTATATGACTTGTTATTATGGAGAAATAAAGAGGCTAAGCCTCATTCATGTGAAATTTAATTTACAGATACTCTTATTGCTTGCTATCTTAAGAATTAACAGTACTTGCTTATTACCACAATATTATAGGCTTATAATGTTAATGAATTATTAAGATCTACTGCAAGAAAGCTAAATGGTATGACTGATTTCCATAGTGACTGATGTAACATAAGTTTGTAAAAACATTCTACATATTTAGTCGATAAATAATAGCTTATATGACTTGTTACTTTGGGCTCAGAGTAAAAATGAAAGTAAATATAATGACTATTGAGTAGTTTTAGATAAATATATAAGAGGAAATGTGCTGGGTGCAAGTAGGAGCTGCCTGTCACTGGCCAGTAGGCCTACTATTGTACTCTAATGTGTCTAAATTTTTTTTATAAAAATTTTTGTTCTTATGTTCTAAAGGACATTGGTGCTGAAATACAGAAATACATGATGGGGAATAGGTGAGGATGTGTGTATATAGGATCTGCCTAGCAAAGGCCATTAGGCCTACTTAATTACTCTTCTATTTTTATATTAGTAAGGAAACTTATGCTGAATATAGTAAAGAGATGGATAATGATTAAAAATAGGCTGAACATATATTCTGCATTAGAGAGAATGGTTGGTTGCGAGTAGGATTTGCCTAGCATAGGCCAATAGGCCTACTTAATGATTTCTATTGTTATATTGGTAAGGAAACTTATGTTGAGTGTAATGAGAACGAGTACTGAAATTTAGGCCAAGCAAATACTACAAAAAATAGAATGAGTAGAGGTATGTGGATAGGAGTAGCCTGGGATGAGCCAGTAGGCCTACAGAACCGCTCCTCTATCCATATATAGTGTAAGACATCCCATGTAGATGTGGTTGAGCAATCTCTTGAAGTTTAGTGAGGATGGGATAAGAATAAATTAGACAAATGCATGAGGGAATAGATAGTATGTTTGTAGGACCTGCTTAGTATCGGCCAGTAGACCTATTGAGGAGCTCCTCTATTCTATATTATCATAATTTTATATTAACTGACAGCTGTATGTGGCATGGTGAAGGTAGACACAATATATGATGGCTAATGGGTGGAGAAGTGAGCAGTTGCTTAATTATTCAGGTTATTTACACAAGATTACATTTTTTTTTATAATTATTACATATAGTAACATGTGCAAATCACATAGAGGGACTTAATAAATTCAGAGTGACATATTTCCTTTGTTGTCCTTAGATAAACTAGCAGTTTTGCTTGCTTACTGCTAATGTATCATTATGATATAGCAGTGTGTGTGTTTTACTGTAGTCAAGCCACACTAAAATATAGGTTAGATAAAACCATGAGTGTTTATGGCTGAAAGATGTGAGCAGAAGAAGGTAAGTTTATTTAGGCACAGGTACACATAAGTATAATTATCACATATTGTGTAAATTACCTATGATAACTAAGAACAGTCAAAGTGCATGCAGAAGACCACTAGTTATGCAAAGTATTTCAGGTGGTGGATGATGACTTAAGTATTATGGGGAAGGTAGTGAGTGTGTGGTATTATAGTGTGTTTAGAGAGTGTATAGAGTATGTATAGAGGGTGTATATAGTGTGTGTATGGAGTTTGTAAGTTTATTTAGGTACAGGTACACATAGCTACACAAATTATCATACATAGTAACACATGTATAAATTACCTAGGATAACCCAAAAAGAAGTCAAGGTGACATATGCATTACGATCCTCGAGTGCATATGAAGGGCACATACAGAACCTATACAAAAGACACACACAAGAGTGTACACCTATCTAGTATATATATACAGAAATAATACACATATATAGCAGAGTATAGAGTATAGTGTATGCGCACACTGAGGTTCTAGTGTCTTAACAATATATTCAAACTTGGCGGCGGCTCCTCCAATCACATTTGAGTGAGCTTCCCGCGCCACCAACACCAATGGCTGTCACCCAGGACACACACACACCTAAATACAAGCTTTAAAAATCGGGTAGGTTGGTTTGGTTTGTTGTTGCTTGTGTCTTGGTGGAGGCGGGATGAGAGGAGAGGAAGGTGGAGGTGGGATGAGTGAGGGAGAGGAGGTGAGAGGAGCCTCCAGGGAGGTGTAATAAGGTTGTAAAGATGAGGTAGTACAGAGGCTGGGGCAGTCACAGGTCGCTCATCTCAACTCTATTTCACTAACAAGTGGAAATGGCGGCTCTCTTTTAGCCATCCTCGGTGTTTTTTCCGCTGTTTTACCCCGCAGCTTAAGATGCTTGTATTTAAAAAGCTCTGGTAATGTGTAGTGCGATTTTGGACTTTGAAATATAGATTGATTACCAGTTTGAGTGATGTGGAGGCGTTATTATTTAGTGTGTGTGAGGCTCAGACGGGCGTCCATTAGCCTCATGATAGTCTAACTTAATCTCACTCCTTTTCCACACCATAAACTCGCCTTAAATCATGAATAATTCATCTGGAAGTAGTTATAATGGTGTGGTTGGCTTTGGCTTGGCCAAAACTCGACTATGTCTATGTGAATCCCTTTTGCCTTCACACTGGACAATATTAAGTCAGTTATCATCACCTTGACGGAAAATACAATTCACAGCATTCCATTCTTGAAATTTTCTGAAATTGTTGGTTTTTTTGTGGGAAAAATGTCGAGGATTCGGTGTTTGCTTTAATTTTTTTGATAGGGAAGCACTTTCAGTATATTTTGAGATCTGTGGTGAAAATAATGCAACTCGCCCCAGAAATTTTCTGTGACTAGAAATTTTTATTAAAAGAAAAATGAAGTTTAAGGGTTTATTCATAGTTGTGTGATATTTGTGGATGGGAAAATACTTTTTCTGTGCATGTGTGTGTGGAGTGTGACATGTGGGTGGAATTTTTATATAAGAAAAGTGGACTCTAAATACTGTGAAAGAACTGAAGAGTTTTTCCCTACTTAATTTTAAATTACAACAGCTTATGTTTATCTAAACCAATTAAATTTGGTTTTCCACCCAGTCCCCCCTCCCCCCATCAAAAAATAAAAAAAGGTCTGATAACACAGTATCAATAATAATTATTGATGACATTTTTCGATACTATTTTTAAATATTTTCTTTTATATTCACCATTACCATATTGATTTTGGTATTTAACCCTTTCCAAATTTAAAAAGTTATTTTTGACATGTTTAAAATTTTATATAGAGGGCTTTTTTTTATATAGTGATATTGCTGAAATTTAATTTAATCACAGAATTTTTGGCCATTTGTATTCATATTTAACCATAATTCAAAGAAAGAAGAATCAAAATTAACACAGATTTAGGGAAGTATTTATTGATTTCGGTTAGTTATACACCGAGGAGTGAAGAGTAACACAATTTTTTCTTTACATATTGCATATCATTATACAGTAATGGTAGAAAGGTGACATTTTGTAATAACTTACTCTAGGAAATCAATATAATTCCCAAAAATATGTAATTCCATCATTGTCCTCAAGTTTAGACACGGTTTTTATTGCATAGTATGTATAAGTTATTTTCATTTTGTCTTATATTTCATGTTAAGAAATATGCAGAGGTGACATCTTAATTTTTCAGCCAACAAGTACCGTTTATACATTTATAAACATTTTTATTAATCATCAAAGCCAGTAATAGTAGTAGTAAAAAATAAAGCTGAGCAATTAATAAATCTGCAGTAAGGAATAGAATGCCATATATTATGGTGATAAGTGTAACTAAGATGCATGTGCATTATTGAAAGACTTTAATGAGGATACATTTTCTCCCACCAGGAGCTTTACTTATCAGATTGATAAAGTCCCTGTATGCAAAACTTGCCTTCACTATAGTTTCCTAACATTGTGTATGCCCCCAATGGAAATAAGTAAAGGACCCTAATGGAAATAAGTCACTCTGTCTAAACTTTTTTGGGTTATCCTAGGTTCTCTACACATATGCTGCTATGTATGATAATTCTATGTAACTGTATTTGTGTATACCTGAATAAACTTACTTACTTACTTGCCTTATTTGGTATCTGGGGAAGTTTCTGAATTACCAGGTCATTGAAGTCGACTAGTTATCCAGGCTGGGGTTTCAGTGACTTGGTAAAATAAAGCAATAAATTATCTAACAATGTAAATACATTAATTTATTAATAGTAAAGTATAATTTTGCACTGTCCAAAATTTATTCTTAATTCCTTGGTACCGATACTTAAAACTTTTTTGGTGCTTTAACCTTGAAGTCACACTTGCAGGATCAAAACTTTATTAGTAAAGGTGTCATTAGTGAATACATTCACGTCCATTTCCCTTCAAGTTGTCAGCAGTCGTTTGCCTTCATCTTACAAGTACATATAACAGCTGATAGCTGATACCATGTATTGTACTGTATGTAGATTTGCTTGAAATTATGTATGGTAAAGTACCTTCTCAAATATCAACACACCTCTGGCTGTCTTTCAGGAGACAAGCTCCTTAAATCAGCTCTTGATCAGCCAGGCTGTGATTCATTAGTTGTATAGCCTGCAATTACCAGTAAAATCCTGGCTGATCAGGCCTTGATCCACCCGTAGGCCTTGTCAGGGACCAGAACATAGGCATGCTGTTCCCAGGAAACATCCTTCAGGTTTCCTTCTGGCATTCACAATGTTCTTTCAATTTAGCACAGTCAGAAACTATTGACATAAACGGAAAATTAAAATTGTATTTTTTTTTGGTTTGGTCTGGACCACTATCAAACTGAAAGAAAGATATTTAGTTCTGCCTTTTATACTTCAAGTTCTTATTCTGTTTTCTACTTCTGTTGACTTCTCCATTATAAAATACTGGTAAAACTGGTTGCTTCTTATACATGTATGAAGAATGTCAAAGCAGTGTTTACCTTGTTGATACTAAACATTGCTCTTTTCTTTCATATGAGTGACTACAGTACTGTACCTGTATATCTATTCCATAAACAAAGCCTGTTCCAAAATTGTATTTCTTATTTTTGAGCCTTCATGGCCATTGTTTTGTTGAAAAGACCTTTAATACTGCTCACAGCATTCCTAATATGTAACATAGCCCTGGCTTGGTTCTTATAAATGCTTGCCTCTTCCAGTACACTCAAATTCTTGAATCTTTAAAGTGTGACAGTCTGACCTAGGCTGCCTTGCTCTCCATTACTTTTATGCAACTTCTTCCTTACTCACTTTTCCTGCTCACTTTTAACATGATAATGGTTGAAGAGGTCAAAACTTTGTCCAGTTTCCTCTTAGTTTTTGGGTTATCGCTATTATGGCTTCACAGTCTGCCCTGTAATTCTTTGTACATAGTATATTTTGTTGCATGTGGAATTGTTGTGGGTTACAGTAATTAATAAGGGCTAGAGATTTTCACCATTGTGAAATGAAGGCATTAATAGTAATACTTTAACATCTCTTGGTAAAATAACTAACTTTAATGTGATTACTACCTAAATTTTTTCTACTTGTATCTAGCCCAGCTTAGTCAACCTTCAGCTGTCTGTTAAAACTGCCAGAATCTTGCTGCATATTGTACTGTCAGTCGGGAACAGCCCTAGTCATGTTATCCATGATCATTGAACAGTTGATGTAAGCATGTATTTCAGCTAGTCCAGTAACTCGCCTTCATAAATAATGAATACTGTTATTCTCCTATGCAGAAAATACAGAAGGTTAAATAAATGTTCATGCTCTAGTCTCTTAGGCATAAGAATTTTTCAGATTGCCAGTAAAGTAGTATGTTCTTGTGAAGTACAGTTCTGTTTTACAGTACTACAGTGAACTGATAAATACAGGAAGTACGTTCTTAAGTATTTGCAGTGTTTGGTATGTTAAAACTACAATATTTGTAAACAATATGTGAAGGTATTTTGAATTTAATAAGGTAACATTGTGTAGATTGACCTTGTGGTAATGTTGAAGGTGATAAGGTTGATAAGAGTTTTCAGAATAATTCCTTGGGCAGATAACCCAAGTTCAACTTCTCTTTTGATTATGGGATCAGACAGTTAATGTAGGTGGAGGTCACTTCAGGTAGTTGGTGTCAGCAATTATATTTTGATTGTGGGATCAGACAGTGTAGGTGGAGGTCACTTCAGGTACTTGACGGTGTCTACAGTTGTTGTAATGATGGACACTTTAATCCATGGGTGAGGAGGTGGCTGTAGCTGTCACAGCAATGTGACTGGTTGTTGAGGTGTTAGAGATTCTGGTTAAGATGGTGGATCATGTTGGCGAGTATTTTTAACTTGAAGAAACTGTGGTGGAACATTGGCAGCAAGCAGATGGCATCTACAGAGCTATTATGTATTACAGAAACAATCTTCCAGTTTTCCGTTCATGCTTCACTCTATCACAAGTTCCAACTCAAATAGTGTCTGTAGGATTATTTACAATACACCTCGTAGGTAATAAGTAATTCTGATTGAATTTACCATCTTTACCTTTATCAGGATTGGTGCAAGATAGTCAAGAAGTGGATAGAGACAAAACAGTGTAAGTCTTCATTATAATGATATTTTCCTCAAGGAAATCTTTTTCTTTCTTCACTTTAAAACCGCTTCACTGTCTCACTTGTAGATTTACATTATTGATGCCAGTGTCACTCACGTAGATCTGCATTTTGAGCTCAGCTCCCTCGGATAAGCTGTGAGCGGTAAATTTTTGCCTAAATATGAGAGACTGGGTCTGTTTTGTGAGTTTGCATAGTATAAAATGAAGTCCTACCTCACACAGTGCATGATGGAAAAAAGGAAATCCCTAGTTTAAAAGAGCAACTTTGAGGTGTTTCGTAGGGTAGATTTTATGGTTTTATTGCCTGTTTCTTGCTCACATTTGATAGAATGGAATACAGCCTCTCCTCACTTAGCGATGTATCACTCGTTTACCAACGACTCAGACTTACGATGGGTTCTTTGGCCAGTATGCATACCTAAATAATGCAATGTATATTGGAGCTGATTTCCTCTATTCTGTTTATTACAATATACAGTACACTGATGTATAAACATTTAAAAATATACCAGAAATGTTATAAATGGTGCAAAGGTGATATTAAAATATTATCAAAGATGGTTGACACAAACCCACCACGATTATAGTGTGCTCCTCACTTAGCGACGAATCATTTACCGACGTGGTCCTAGTAACGGAACTTCACCATTAAGTGAGGAGAGGTTGTACATACTACTGAGGATTTGGGTTGGTTCCACCAACAAGTACGTACCTTGAAATCAGGCTCAAAGTAGTGGAAATATTAAATTTTTAACGATTTTCTTGAGAACAGATAAGGTCTTCCCTACACCCTCAGGTTTGTTTTATGGATTTTTACTAGGTCTGCTTCAATTATTGGTACACCCTAAGTCATGACCAATTATTCCTGGTTATATGTTATTATCCAAGAAATAAGGAAAAACTTTGATAATTCAAAATGGAGGGTAGGTGTAAGATAGGAGAGGCCTAAGGACATGATTCGTGAACAGAAAGTGTTGATTTAGTGCCTGGAATATCTGCAGTGTTTATAGTATTTTGGACTTAGTTTTTAAATTGGAATTTTTTAGTTTTGTGTAAAATTGGCCAAATTACTGATTTCTCTGCACTTTACATGGTAGTTCTCATAGTTAAATGGGCAGTGTCTTGTGCTCAGTTAACAATAGCAAAATAGGAAAGAATTTACTCACTGGGCAAAATTTCCGATGCTGTCTCCAGTATAAGTCTTCAGTGTATTAGATTGAAAAAGCCTGATGCACAGGTGAAACATCTCATCAGTGAAGATACCCTGGTGTTGCACATGTCATATCAACTTGTTAGTAACGTATACCATTATTGTAATGGTCATTTCAGCATGTCGCACTGTTCACTGGTCAGCTGCTTACATGCTGCGAACTGGTCTGTTTTTACACCTTTTTATTTTGTCTTTTGTTTTTACCTAAATAGTTCTGTATTTTAATGCTGCTTTTGCACAGGAAACAAATGTTAGTGTTGTTATTACGTATAGTGATGCCTTATGTGGAGAGAGAGATTGTGGAAGTATCTTGATTAAGGTAACACTTGAATGGTATATTACGTTTTCAAGAGTTCAGGGAATTTATACACATTTCTAAAGAATTTTTAATTCAATACTGTACTCTGTGAGTACAGTATCTCACTATGGCTTATCTCACTATGTATACCTGGAGTTTACCTGGAGAGAGTTCCGGGGGTCAATGCCCCCGCGGCCCGGTCTATGACCAGGCCTCCTGGTGGATCAGAGCCTAATCAACCAGGCTGTTGCTGCTGGCTGCACGCAAACCAACGTACGAGCCACAGCCCGGCTGGTCAGGAACCGACTTTAGGTGCTTGTCCAGTGCCAGCTTGAAGACTGCCAGGGGTCTGTTGGTAATCCCCCTTATGTATGCTGGGAGGCAGTTGAACAGTCTCGGGCCCCTGACACTTATTGTATGGTCTCTTAACGTGCTAGTGACACCCCTGCTTTTCATTGGGGGGATGTTGCATCGTCTGCCAAGTCTTTTGCTTTCGTAGTGAGTGATTTTCGTGTGCAAGTTCGGCACTAGTCCCTCTAGGATTTTCCAGGTGTATATAATCATGTATCTCTCCCGCCTGCGTTCCAGGGAATACAGTTTTAGGAACCTCAAGCGCTCCCAGTAATTGAGGTGTTTTATCTCCGTTATGCGCGCCGTTAATGTTATGTTTTAATGTTGCAGTTTAAAAACTGTAGTGTAAAGCACCCTTCTGGCAAGACAGTGATGGAGTGAATGATGGTGAAAGTTTTTCTTTTTCGGGCCACCCTGCCTTGGTGGGAATCGGCCGGTGTGATAATAAAAAAAAAAAATAATAAAATAAATATGCGCGCCGTGAAGGTTCTCTGTACATTTTCTAGGTCAGCAATTTCACCTGCCTTGAAAGGTGCTGTTAGTGTGCAGCAATATTCCAGCCTAGATAGAACAAGTGACCTGAAGAGTGTCATCATGGGCTTGGCCTCCCTAGTTTTGAAGGTTCTCATTATCCATCCTGTCATTTTTCTAGCAGATGCGATTGATACAATGTTAAGGTCCTTGAAGGTGAGATTATCCGACATGATCACTCCCAGGTCTTTGATGTTGGTGTTTCGCTCTATTTTGTGGCCAGAATTTGTTTTGTACTCTGATGAAGATTTAATTTCCTCGTGTTTACCATATCTGAGTAATTGAAATTTCTCATCGTTGAACTTCATATTGTTTTCTGCAGCCCACTGAAAGATTCGGTTGATGTCTGCCTGGAGCCTTGCAGTGTCTGCAATGGAAGACACTGTCATGCAGATTCGGGTGTCATTGCAAAGGAAGACACGGTGCTGTGGCTGACATCCTTGTCTATGTCGGATATGAGGATGAGGAACAAGATGGGAGCGAGTACTGTGCCTTGTGGAATAGAGCTTTTCACCGTAGCTGCTTTGGACTTTACTCTGTTGACGACTACTCTCTGTGTTCTGTTAGTGAGGAAATTATAGATCCATCGACCGACTTTTCCTGTTATTCCTTTAGCACGCATTTTGTGTGCTATTACGCCATGGTCACACTTGTCGAAGGTTTTTGCAAAGTCTGTATATATTACATCTGCATTCTTTTTATCTTCTAGTGCATTTAGGACCTTGTCGTAGTGATCCAATAGTTGAGACAGACAGGAGCGACCTGTTCTAAACCCATGTTGCCCTGGGTTGTGTAACTGATGGGTTTCTAGATGGGTGGTGATCTTGCTTCTAAGGACCCTTTCAAAGATTTTTATGATATGGGATGTTAGTGCTATCGGTCTGTAGTTCTTTGCTGTTGCTTTACTGCCCCCTTTGTGGAGTGGGGCTATGTCTGTTGTTTTTAGTAACTGGGACGACCCCCGTGTCCATGCTCCCTCTCCATAGGATGGAAAAGGCTCGTGATAGGGGCTTCTTGCAGTTCTTGATGAACACAGAGTTCCATGAGTCTGGCCCTGGGGCAGAGTGCATGGGCATGTCATTTATCGCCTGTTCGAAGTCATTTGGCGTCAGGATAACATCGGATAGGCTTGTGTTAACCAAATTTTGTGGCTCTCATAAAAAATTCATTTTGATCTTCGACTCTCAGTCTGGTTAGCGGCTTGCTAAAAACTGTCATATTGGGACTTGAGTAGCTCACTCATTTCCTTGCTGTAATCTGTGTAGGACCCATCTTGTTTAAGTAGGGGCCCAATACTGGACGTTGTTCTCGACTTTGATTTGGCATAGGAGAAGAAATACTTTGGGTTTCTTTCGATTTCATTTATGGCTTTTAGTTCTTCCCGCGATTCCTGACTCCTATAAGATTCCTTTAGCTTAAGTTCGATGCTTGCTATTTCTCTGACCAGTGTCTCCCTACGCATTTCAGATATATTGACCTCTTTTAGCCGCTCTGTTATTCTTTTCCGTCACCTGTAAAGGGAGCGCCTGTCTTTTTCTATTATACATCTACTCCTCCTTTTTCTTAGAGGAATAAGCCTTGTGCATACATCGATTGCCACCAAGTTAATCTGTTCTAGGCATAAGTTGGGGTCTGTGTTGCTTAGTATATCTTCCCAGCTTGTATCGGTTAGGACTTGGTTTACTTGGTCCCACTTTATGTTTTTGTTATTGAAGTTGAATTTGGTGAATGCTCCCTCGTGACTAGTCTCATTATGTCGGTCTGGGGCTCCACGCATACATGTCTGAACCTCAATTATGTTGTGATCTGAGTATATTGTTTTTGATATGGTGACATTTCTTATCAGATCATCATTGTTAGTGAAGATGAGGTCTAGTGTATTCTCCAGTCTAGTAGGCTTTATTATTTGCTGGTTTAAATTGAATTTTGTGCAGAGATTTAAAAGCTCGTGTGAGTGTGAGTTTTCATCAGTATCAGTATTTTTACTGAAGATTAACTTGAGTTATAATTAATTAACAAATTTATTGGATATGATTAATGCTCATTTTATCAGTGAAGACCATGTTACTAGGACATTTTATAATGTAAATACTGTACTATACTTTTTTTAATTTGGTTGAATATTACCAGACACATAACTAAAGCTTTTCCATGTATTCTTTGAAGTTCTTTTGTATATTAAATAAATACTTATAATTCACAATGTCTCAATATAAACATACTTTCTTGAACTCCAGTAATTTTTTATGCAAAAAATATATACATAATTTCCTCTAGTTTGAAGTACGTACTGTAATTGTTAAATTTTATAAGACTGAAAGGCAATATAGTATTTTAGTATTGGAAAATTTAAGTGCATTTTTTTTTTTTCAGCATATTTGGACAACACGGCTTACAAGGCCTCGATGGATGATGTCTCCTCTGGACCTGGCATGGGATATAATGCCTTATACCTCACATCAGAGGTTTCAAGTGCTTTAGAAAACATGTCTCAGGATCCTGAAGTATGCAATGATGTGCATTATTCCAGGAGACCAGAAGATGACGGTGAAGTAAATATCCATCAAGAAAACAGTATGGAAAATTGGATTTCTCATGATGAGATCAGTAGAGATGGTGAAAAAATTTGTGGTGTTATAAGTAATGATGATGTCAGAATAGGAGAAAATTGGTTAGAAGGCAGAGAGGCAAATGAGGCTGTAAAATCTAGTGCAGAGGAAGAAGACAATTTTAGTGAAGATGAAGAAGACAAGTTTGGTGATGATGATGATGAGGCAAAGTATAGTGCAGATGATGAAGATAAATTTAGCACAGAGGAGGAAGCCAAATATAGTGCAGTAGATGATGATACTAATTTTACAGAAGAAACGAAGTCCAGTGGAGAGGAGGAATACAGTGTAGATGGGTGTAAGCTTATCACACAAGAAGAAGGGAAGTATAATGAAGATTTACATGATGAGTGGCTTGAAACAGGGGGTCATGTTGATGGTCAAGTTGAACTGAGGGACACAGGCTGGGTGAGAGATACTGAATTTAATAGTATAATCAAAGATAAAAAGCCTTGGCCCAGTAGTAGTGAGGATGAGAGGCATTCTTCCACAGAGAGTGAAGCAGAATTAACAGAGGATGATCAAGAACAAGCAACCAGCGAGGTAAAAGTTAATTTTCCGTCTGCTCCATCCATTTCCCCCTCTAGTAAAGCAGCTCGGCCTCAACCAGTACTGTGTTTTGATGAGTATGGAAATCTAACAACAGCATATCATAGCCCGGAAATAAGCACAGTTAGTGAGATTCAGACTTACGCAACAGAACCTGCTCATCACGAACCTGAAATTGTTTCTGTACCTTTACAGACAAGTGAAAAAAATAGTTCCTATATAAGTGAGGAATATCCTGAGTATTCTTCTTGCAATGGAGAAATTAGAACATTAACAAATAAGCCAAAGCCTAATCATGAAATTGAAGAAAATGTATTATCAGACCAAGAATTGAAACAAGCTTTTAAGGAAGAATTTATGACTGCTGCTACTAGCCGTTATGGTAGAACACGAAAGCGTAAAACAGAAGATGGCTTTTTCTTTGGGACCCTCAATTTTAATGAATTGAGAAAAATAACTGGAGGTAGTCCAAAGAAAACAAAGAGCTTAAATTCTAAAAATTTCAGTCCAGAACAGAAGCTAAAGGCAGTTACTAAAGATGAACGTAAATCAAAGCACATTTTGGGAGAAGTAGATGAAATTATAACACAAAATGGGGCCATGGAACATAAGAACAGTGTGATAGAGGCAGGAATCAAGAATATTTCTACAAGCCAAGTACAAATAAGTGAAACCAAAGATGAAGCTATACCAGTTCAAAATGTGAATGTTGAGCAGGGTGATAATAGTGATAAAGATTTAAGTAAATGCATTAGTAATAATAATGACTCTCAAAAAGACCCACAGCAGAAAAATGACAATACCTCAGACACTGGTTCTGGTAATGATGGTTTTACAGAGGAGCCTTTTACAAAAGAGGCTTCTGCAGTAAGTATAGAAACCACAGAATCGGCTACGAGCAGTGGGGCCTCGGTAGTATCGAGCACTTATGATAGACGAAGGAGGTTAAGCCTCCGAAAGCGTTCTGAACCATCTTTGGGAACCAGGGCCACTGAAACTCATTCTGTCGTCTCTGATAGACTACTTAGGGGGCGGTCAGATGTGTCTATAATAAAGCGTTCTCTCCAGCCATGTGATCAAGTGGTTCCACACAGGCGATCTAGAAAAATCCACACAAACTTAGAGCCTCCAATATATGCATCTAACTCAACTACAGATTGTCAAGATGAGCATCAAGAAATTTCTACAGTCTCACAAGATGAGCAGCAGGAAATTCCTACAATATCTCAAGATGAGCAGCTTGAAATTTCTACAGTCTCTCAAGATAAGCAGCAGGAAATTCCTACAATACCTCAAGATGAGCAGCTTGAAATTCCTACACCTTTGAGAGAAGAGCCTACCACTTTTAAACCATCTCGAAGATGTAAAGCAAATGTAGATGAGGTAAGTAGTCTTGTTTGTATGTTGCATTTTGTTAGTTTGATTTATGTGACATTTATTTTCTAGTTAATTTCTTTTTTCACTTACTTTTTTTTTTAATTTTGTCATTTTATTAAGGTGCTTTAACAAAATATGTACTGTACATTACATAAAGTTTTAACCCTTTCAAGGTTTCGGTTGTACTAGTACGGCTTACGCACCAGGGTTTTTGATGTACTAGTACGCCTAAATTCTAGCGCCCTCAAATCTAATGAGAGAAAGCTGGTAGGCCTACATATGAAAGAATGGTTTATGTGGTCAGTGTGCATGGTATAAAAAAATCCTGCAGCACACAGTGTGTAATGAGAAAAAAAAAAACTGACCGTGTTTTTGGATTAAAACAGCGACTTTGCACTGTATTTTCGTATGGTATTTATTGTTGTATTCTAGTTTTCCTGGTCTCATTTTATAGAATGGAAGACATATTACAGAAATTGAGATGATTTTGACTGGTTTTACAATGAAAAGTACCTTGAAATTGAGTTAAAAGTAGCAGAAATGTTCGATTTTTACCAAAGTTCAAAAGTAAACAAATCATGCTATGCGTCCAATGCACATCAACTGGCGAGTCTAATATTCTTTCACAAGTGTGCTGATATTATTTATACCATTTCTACACAGTAGTCTGCATAACCGTAAATCTTCTATTTTTTTTTTTTGTGAGAATAAAAATTCGAAGTGGAAAGTAAAAGAATGTAAGAGGGGCGTGGGGACATGACTAATGAACAGAGGAAATGTTATTTTAGTGACAGGAATGTCTTTCTTGTTTATTCTGGACGCTATTCGGAAATTGGCTTCTTTTGAAATATGTGTGAAATTGGCAAAATTGCTAAATTCTGACCACTATTGGATAGTTGAAATCGGTAAATGGGTGGTTTCTTGTACTCATTCGATAGAAAAAATGAGTTCTAGCGAAATAGTTATGATTTTTGTCGACTAGTACACTGGAATTAGCTGAAAATAGTGCTCAAAGTGGGCAAAATTGCTGATGCATAAACATCGTCGAGACTGCTAACTTCACAAGAGCATAATTCCGTAAGTTTTCCATCAAATTTCATACTTTTGGTGTCATTATGATCGGGAAAAGATTATCTTTTCTTAAGAAAAAAAAATTTTTTTTTTAACCCCTTCAAGGTCCAAGGCCATAATCTGAAGTGGTGCCCCAGTGTCCAAGAATTTAAAAAAAAAAAATTGTTATTTTTTCTTATGAAACAGTAGAGAATCTTCTTGTGAAGGTAATAAAACAAAGTACGAAATTTGATGGAAAATTGACGAAATTATGCTCTTGTGAATTTTGATGTGTCAGCGATATTTATGAATCGGCGATTTTGCCGACTTTGACTCCCATTTTAGGCCAATTACATTATTCCAGTCGACCAAATTCTTAGCTATTTCACTAGTATTACCTCTATTCTATCGATTGAGCACAAGAAATCGCCAAGTCAACTGTTTCAACTACAAAATAGTGATCGGAAATTGGTAATTTGGCCAATTTAACACAGTTCAAAATATTCCAATTTCAAAATAGGGTCTAGAATAAACAATGTAGGTATTCCTGGCACTAAACTAACATTTTCTCTATTCATTAGTTACGTTTTGAGGCTTTACAAATAAATTCCATTTTGATTTTTTATTCACAATGAATTTTTATTCACACCAAAAAATACATTTACTGTTATGCAATATTGTAATAATTGTATAAATATCAACACCTCAATTACCGGGAGCTCTTGAGGTTCCTAAACCTGTATTCCCTGGAACGCAGGCGGGAGAGATACATGATTATATACACCTGGAAAATCCTAGAGGGACTAGTACCGAACTTGCACATGAAAATCACTCACTACGAAAGCAAAAGACTTGGCAGACGATGCAACATCCCCCCAATGAAAAGCAGGGGTGTCACTAGCACGTTAAGAGACCATACAATAAGTGTCAGGGGCCCGAGACTGTTCAACTGCCTCCCAGCATACATAAGGGGGATTACCAACAGACCCCTGGCAGTCTTCAAGCTGGCACTGGACAAGCACCTAAAGTCGGTTCCTGACCAGCCGGGCTGTGGCTCGTATGTTGGTTTGTGTGCAGCCAGCAGCAACAGCCTGGTTGATCAGGCTCTGATCCACCAGGAGGCCTGGTCACAGACCGGGCCGCGGGGGCGTTGACCCCCGGAACTCTCTCCAGGTAAACTCCAGGTAAACATTTGTGAATGTATATTAGACCCACCAGCTGGCGTGTATTAGATGTATGAGGTCGTTTGTTTACTCTTGAACATCGGAAAAAATTTAACATTTCCGCTACTTTGAGCTCAGTTTCAAGCCATTTCCAGTGCTAAAACCAATCAAAATCATTTATATTTCTGTAACATGTCTTCATTCTATCAAGTGAGACCAAGAAATCGCTAATACAACTATAAAAACATACGAAAAACCACTGCAAAGTCGCTGTTTTAATCGAAAATCATGGTCTCAGTTTTTTTCTCTCATTATACACAGTGTGCTGCAGGATTTGTTTTATGTGATACATACCACATAGATGTATTCTCTCATATCTAGGCCCAAATGTACCACTCACAGTATATCAGAGTGAGCTGAGCTCATGGCGTAGATCTACTGTTTGGACCCTGAACGTAAAGCCGTAGATCTACGGGACGGACCCTGAAAGGGTTAAATTTGGGCGACCTCTGAGAGGGCCTGTCGACCCTGAAAGGGTTAAGGATATTCCAAGCATAATAATGTTATGTGCTGTATCACAATTTTTTTAAGAGGACAATTTCCATATAGAGTTCAGATAGAAATGTGGTTAATGGTTATGTTACCATAGAATTTAACCCTTAAACCGTCCAAACGTAGATCTATGTTCACTCAAGTAGCGCTCCGAACGTAGATCTACGTTTTATTTTACATTTGAAGGCATGAGGCCTGTTCTCAGACCGGGCCGCAGGGGCATTGACCCCCGAAACCCTCTCCAGGTCCAGGTAATGTAAAATAAAACTTAGATCTATGTTCAGAGCGCTATGCGAGTGAACATAGATCTACGTTTGAACAGTTTAAGGGTTAATTACAATGTAAATGAATAAAAAAAATTACAGCGTTACTGATGAATAAGAGATTTTATTATATCTTCATAATTTTTTTTTTTTATGTATTTTCTAGACACTTCTAGGGTTAACTTTAATCATTGCACATCCCCATCGCTTATTCAGAGTGCAGGCATTGCTCTTCCTAGGACTCGAGTCTCTAACCGGGTTCCTCTGAATCACTTCATAAATGTTACTTACTCACTCACTCAGGGATGCACCCACTTTTATACGTACATACATGTATATGTATGCATACATAAATTCATGCCCACATACAAAATAACCACTGAAAAAATAGTGAATTTCGAAGTGCTTTCGTGATTTCTCGGTTATTTTGCAAATTGCGATATCACCTGTTCAATGATCTTATTGCAAGGCACGTATGTATAAATATGTCTTGCCGAATACCTAAAACTTGCAATTTTGGCTTAAATAGCAATGTTCTTCTTGCCGAGTAAGGCAAGCGAAAATTTGTGTACGCAATAATTTCACAAAAATCATTCTGAACCTATCAAAAAAATATATTTCATTGTGTTTGTTTATTATTAAATTATTGTAAACTTCATTTGTTGGTAGACAGCAACCACCCAGGGAAGTACTACCGTCCTGCCAGATGACTGTGGAACAGAAACCTGTAACTGTTTTACATGATGGTAGGATTGCTGGTGTCTTTTTCTGTCTCATAAACATGCTGGGTAACAGGGATATCTTGCTACTCCTGCTTATATTTGGTCACACTTCACAGACATGCACATGTATATATATATACATACATCTAGGTTTTCCCCTTTTTCTAAATAGCTCTTGTTCTTCTTTATTTCTTCTATTGTCCATGGGGAAGTGGAAAAGAATCTTTCCTCCGTAAGCCATGCGTGTCGTATGAGGCGACTAAAATGCCAGGAGCAGTGGGCTAGTAACCCCTTTTCCTGTAAACATTTAGTAAATAAGAGAAGAAAAACTTTATAAAACTGGGATGTTGAGTGTGTGTGGATGTAGTGCGGATGACAAGAAACAGATGATTGCTGATGTTATGAATGAAAAGAAGTTGGATGTTCTGGCCCTAAGCGAAACAAAGCTGAAGGGGGTAGGGGAGTTTCGGTGGGGAGAAATAAATGGGATTAAATCTGGAGTATCTGAGAGAGTTAGAGCTAAGGAAGGAGTAGCAGTAATGTTGAAGGATCAGTTATGGAAGGAGAAAAGAGAATATGAATGTGTAAATTCAAGGATTATGTGGATTAAAATAAAGGTTGGATGCAAAAAGTGGGTCATAATAAGTGTGTATGCACCTGGAGAAGAGAGGAGTGTAGAGGAGAGAGAGAGATTTTGGGAGATGTCAAGTGAATGTATAGGAACCTTTGAACCAAGTGAGAGAGTAATTGTGGTAGGGGACCTGAATGCTAAAGTAGGAGAAACTTTTAGAGAGGGTGTGGTAGGTAAGTTTGGGGTGCCAGGTGTAAATGATAATGGGAGCCCTTTGATTGAACTTTGTATAGAAAGGGGTTTAGTTATGGGTAATACATATTTTAAGAAAAAGAGGATAAATAAGTATTCAAGATATGATGTTGGGCGAAATGACAGTCATTTGTTGGATTATGTATTTGTAGATAAAAGACTGTTGAGTAGACTTAAGGATGTACATGTTTATAGAGGGGCCACAGATATATCAGATCACTTTTTAGTTGTAGCTACACTGAGAGTAAAAGGTAGATGGGATACAAGGAGAATAGAAGCATCAGGTAAGAGAGAGGTGAAGGTTTTTAAACTAAAAGAAGAGGCAGTTAGGGTAAGATATAAACTGCTATTGGAGGATATATGGGCTAATGAGAGCATGGGCAATGGGGTCGATGATGTATGGGGTAGGTTTAAAAATGTAGTGTTACTGTGT